ATCTTGGGAGAGATTGATTCCCAATTTTCTAAGAAAGTGCCATATTGATTTCCAAAGTGGCTGTACAAGCTTGCATTCCCACCAACAGTGTAGGAATGTTCCCCTTGCTCCACATCCTCTCCAGCATAAGGTATCTTCAGTGTTTTTGATCTTAGTCATTCTGACAGGTGTAAGGTGGTATCTCAGAGTCATTTTGATTTGCATTTCCTTGATGATTATGGATGTTGAGGAATTCCTTAAATGTCTTTCAGCCATTTGAGCTTCCTCTGTTTAGAATTCTATGTTTAGCTCTATAGCCCATTTCTTAATTGGACTGTTGGGCATTTTGATGTCTAATTTCTTGAGCAGAGATCCATGGCCAGGCCCCAGGTAGAGCTCCAGGAGTCCAATTGGTGAGAAAGAGGAGGGATTATATGAGCAAGAATTGTTGAGTCCATGATTGGAAAAAGCACAGGGACAAATAGCCAAAGTAGTGGAAACACATGAACTATGAACCAATAGCTGAGGAGTCCCCAACTGGATCAGGCCCTCTGGATAAGTGAGACAGTTGATTAGCTTGAACTGTTTGGGAGACCCCCAGGCAATGGGATCAGGACCTGTCCTTAGTGCATGAGCTGGCTGTTTGGAACCTGGGGCCTATGAAGGGACACTTTGCTCAGCCTGGGTGAAGGGAGGAGGTGACTGGACCTGCCTCAGCTGAATCTACCAAACTGAGCTGAATCCCCAGGGGAGTCCTTGCCCTGGAGGAGATGGGAATAGGGGGTGGGCTAGGGGGAGGACAGGAGGTGGGTGGGAGGAGGAAGGACAGGGGAATCTGTGACTGATATGTAAAATTAAATTAAATTATAAAATAAAAAAGTCCACATTAATTTTTTAAACCTTTCATAATTCTCTATATGTCCCTAAAGTGCTAGAGACTTGTAAGACAGTCATTTTTAACTTTTAAGAGACTGAGAAATTGGCAAGATTATATGTGTATATTCTAAAGAATATTACATGAATCCTTACAAAGCATAGTTAGAAATAATGGACCACATGTGGAAGAAAGTAGACAATGAGACCAAGAAACAACATGAATGTGACCATAAGCCATGGAATGTCAGCAGCCACTCTAGGAGCGAAAAAGCAAGAAACAGTGTCCATTCAGGGAGATGTAGTTTGGATCTTTCATAGACTTAAGCCATGTGAAACTTGAGATTTTGCATTTATGGCTTCCAGATATGGCATATAAAAACATATATCACTGTAAGCCTCCAAGCTTACAATAATTTACTAGAGCACCTATAGAAAGCTAACAAACTCTCACTTGGTTTCTTCTCTGTAACAAACATATATAAATATTATATATTAACTTTAGAGAATTTTCAAGTGAAGTCATCTGCGCCTGGGCTTTTATCTATGGAAATGTTTATTATTAATTCAATATACATTGTCTTAGGTAGTATTAAATTTCTTTTCTCACTAGAGTCAATTTTGGAAGTGTGAACATTTTCCCAAGTTTATATTGTTTTTTCAATTTTGTGGGTGCACAGTTTTTCACTGTACTCAGTCATAGTTGTTCTTATAAGGGCACTCTCATGATGACATGACAACCATATTTGGATAAAGCCGGTTTTCAGGAAAGTGGGATGGAAAGTTATCAAGGAGACGCTCAGGATAATTGACCTATATGACTTTGAATTTGTTGTCTATTATTTGGATGAGATTCCCTAGAGTTACACATTAGAAAGTGAGATATTTCTGAATGCAAATTATACGTCAATTAAAAGAAAAGGAAGAATAATAATAAAAATGTGCACAATAAAAAACCAGCTGAATCTCCACAGACAGCTTAATTGCTTCTACCCTGTAGGGTTAGGAAGTTTAGATGATCTCACAGAATCACTCTCTAGAGGTCTCAAGGTCTCTAGGATTCCTACCACCCCCAGATCTCCTTGTATTGGCCTCTAAGTGCAATGTAACTCAAAGTGATGCCATTTTAGGAGGAACACACTGTATTCCATGCTTCATTGGCCATTAGTCATTGATCTGAATAACAATCACTCTCAGCACCTACAGGCCTTCTTCACCTGAGGATTAGCTACAGTCCTTCAATTAAGATCTAGGAAAACAAAGATAAATTCACATTGATAGACTTAAGTAATAATCTCTTCTTGAAAAGCTTTGTAGAACTGCATTATGTACAAACATAGTTTGTGAACAAATTGAGAGATGCAATTTTATTGTGTATATGAAGCAAATTAGGAGGAAGTTGGAGGATCTTCCAGGGGTCCAAGAATTAAAGGAGGTTTGGACATTAATTCATGCAAATGCTCTTATCTTCTTCATTCATTGCAGTAGAGTGTTTGGGACTTTTTGACCACTGTCTGAGAGGGAGCTTCTCTCACAGCACTTACACAGTATTCCATGGCTGATCTGGGAATTTCAGATTGTTATTTCAGATTGGCTGTTCTCTCCAAGGAAACTGGTAAGCTTCTCTTCTCCACGAAATTTTCATGATTTTTGTATGCTAAACCAGCAAGGCAACTACACTCATTGTGAGTTATTCTAAAAGAAAATTAGATGATTTCAACATGTTTTCAAAATCTGAGGTAAATGTGAAAAATTCTATCATAAGGAATGTAGAAATTCTTATGACACATCATGCTTATTTCTCAGTAAGGATCAACAAAAATAAAACATGCTGTCCTAGCTGATTAGGCTCTACTCTCACAATGTTAATTATGTACTTGCTTCTTATTGGAGGAAAGCAACAAGCAAAAATAACATTTAATCCTCAAAGTGAAAGAATGTTTCCTTCATAACAAGAGTCCTTAAAGGATTAACAAGTTTCAAACTGCACTTTAACCTTTATCCCATGATCTCATGCTAATTACCACAAATACACCTACACATTTTGACAGTGGTATGGATAAAAATCATAGATGTTTAATTAGGTTGAAAACGCCTTTAACTTTTGAATCTTGACCTTTTAAAAAACTGGATGTATGATTTTTAGGATATTGTATACATTTCAACTGTCAGCTTTCTAATAGTGAAGAATAAAAATGTTACTCGTCTCCCCAAACATAGACATAGAGACATACAGACATATATTTACATATAAACCTTTAATACTGGTTGTAGATATAAGTATCTTCTAAGTTGATCTTGTATTTGTTAAAGGTAGAATACAATGTTCAAAGTCTTATAAATTGATATTTTGAAGGTGAAAGGAAAGGAATAGTAGTTAGAATTGGAAGAATATTCTTCAAAAGCTTCAATCACAATCAAGAAATTTAATATGCTATTATTACACTAGAAGGGACTCAGATACAATAGCATCCAGGATGGTAGCTGCCATCAAAATAAATCTGTGAGCTAAAGACATCCCATAATTCAGAAATATTTTAATTTATGAACTCTGCTTTGGCTAAGGTTTGCCACTGATGAGATATTGGATGATTATTAAAAGTTAATTCTTTATATCAAAGGTAAAATACAGACTCATCTAGAATTATGAAATCACCAGTCGCATTTGTGGAATAAAGACAGACTGACGACACTGGAAAGCTTTGAAAATCCCAGTGGTTGTAATATAGCACAGAAACAATTTGGAGATAGAAATTTATTTTTATTTTTTATCATTTAGAATAATTTTAAAATTTAAATATATTTTGATCATATTCTTCCCTTCCCTTCCCCCAAATATTTCCAGATTGAAAAGAGAAATTTTAAAATGGCAAATCTTTACAATCAAAGACCTGTGTGTCAGCATCCACTTTGATCAAACCAATATATACAATGCTATGAAAGCATAACAGTAACATGATAAACAAAACTTACCTGCCTGTGCTGAGCACATATCTACTGCCTTTAGCATATTTTCTGTTTAAATTCTCAGAGTAACATCTCTAAGCAGGTCTCATTACTGTCTTCATTTTGCAGATGAGAATAAGATATTCAGGGAATTTTGGTCAGGATCAGTGACTCTTACATTGTAAATGTCTGTCTTACATGCACCTTTTCCAGGAACATAAGCTCTATATCTATATCTGAGAACAGATCTTCAGTAAGAATGTCTCTGAGGCTGAACATTTCTGTCATATCAGTTATCCCACCACATCCACCATGCACAGAGATGTATAAGGATAATTTCAGAGTTCACCCTGTATTATCTTCAGCCTAGTCAAAAGTTTATGCTTTAGCTCACAACTTTGTCAATGTGTCCTAAAGATAAGATGCATAAAATGAGTGCATATTGGAGAGATAAAGTGCAATTCAGGCTTCTTAGTTTATTAATGGCACTTTTGTAGCTTCATTTCCAGGTATTTTTCCTGTTCCGTTAATGAACCACAAATACTTAGTGGAAAAGATAAAACTGCTATCTGTGCAATCACCCAAGTTCATTATGAAACTCTAAACAGAGACTGAACCAAAGTGGAAACTGTACATTGGCACAAATTCAGTTAGATGTGTGTTAGACTATTAGAACTAGAAGTGACACAGAATAGGTTTAAGATTGCCTTGAATTCTGGACAGAAATCACCAAATTAGGCTTATGTAAACATGAACAAATGACCTAATCTTTTGTGCTTCATACTGTATAAGATGAGAACAGACAATAGAACACAGAATTCTGTTGAGAGGAAACAATGAATACATCCTAAAGTTTTTATGGCAGTTCTTGGCAGATGAGAAACATATGTTTGACTGAACTAAAGAAAAATGAATTAGAAGATAGATTCATCCAGAAAATCATTTTGATTAGATTATCAAACTGTTTACATTTTACCTAATAATTTATAAAATTGAAATTAGACAGAACATTGGTAAAGATGTTACAGATTCAATAGCTTGCAACCCTGTATATAATTCACAACCATTTCTTTGAAGATCATGCTTTTTTAGAAAATATCAAAGTATATATTGCTTGATAATGTGAAGTTCAATTTAACTTCTTAATCTTTCTGTAACTTTTGACACTTTGACACAGAGCACCCTTTGATTCTCTGCTAGCCCTAATGGAGAACAGAACAGAAACAACATGGTTCATCCTGCTGGGACTCACTGATGACTCAGCTCTGGAGCTTCCCCTCTTTATCATCTTCCTTCTCATCTATATCATCACCCTGATGGGAAACCTGGGGATGATCCTGCTGATTGTCCTAGACTCTCGGCTCCACACTCCCATGTATATTTTCCTTGGTAATCTATCGCTGGTGGACTTCTGTTACTCTTCAGGTGTCACTCCGAAAGTTATGGCTGGGTTTCTAGTAGGAGACAAAGCCATGTCCCACAATGACTGTGCTACTCAGATGTTCTTTGTTACAGGTTTTGCTACTGTGGAAAATTACCTGTTGGCCTCAATGGCCTATGATCGCTATGCAGCAGTGTGTAGGCCCCTACACTATGCCACAACCATGACTGCAGGTATGTGTGCATGGATGATTGCAGGCTGCTATGCCTGTGGCTTCCTGAATGCCTGTATCTACACTGCAGATGCATTCAGTCTCTCCTTCTGTGAGCCCTATGTGGTCCATCATTTTTTCTGTGATATTCCAGCAGTCATGGTACTCTCTTGCTTTGATAGATATGTGAACGAGCTGATTCTTGTTTGCGTAGCCAGTTTCAATATCTTTTTTGCACTCACAGTCATCTTAATATCCTACCTAATGATTTTTATCACAATTCTAAAGATGCACTCAGCTGCAGGACATCAGAAGGCCATTTCCACCTGTGCCTCCCATTTCACTGCTGTTTTTATTTTCTATGCGACTGTAATTTTTATGTACTTGCAGCCTAGTTCCAGTCATGCCATGGACACTGACAAAACTGTGTCTGTGTTCTATACCATGGTTATCCCCATGTTGAACCCTCTGGTCTACAGCCTGAGGAACAAGGAAGTCAAGAGTGCATTCAAAAAGATTGTTTTCAGGGCAAAATGACATTTACAATATTTATTTTACACATTTGAGATGTGCAATGCCTGGATTCATTTCTCTCACATCTTTTTCATGGAATCGATCTATCTATCTGTGTCTGTCTATCTATTCATCCTTTGTCTTTGTGTGTGTGTGTGTGTGTGTGTGTGTGTGTGTGTGTGTGTGTGTGTGTCACAGGACAGCCTGTGGAGGGCAGTTCTCTCTCTTTCTACCACATAGATTCTGAGGCTCAATCTCAGGCTCTTAGCTTTGGCAAACAGCACTTTACTCACTAAGTCAACTTTCTAGTCTTGAATCACATTTAAAAACTCTCAGGTTGAAAGGAAATTCCAATTTCCCAAACTCCAAGGGCCAGTTCATATGTCCAGAAATTATAGTGTAGGTTCATCTCAAGTTGGACTATAGAAGGATTTCTTGCAAACAGATAAAAGCCCAAAGTCAGCATTTGCCAAGAACCTGCAAAAAAAAGGGTTCTGCTTAGCTGAGAGGGCCACTTTCTGTGGCTATACATGTGGTTGCATACAAAAGTCCATGCTGGCCTCCAGATTCCTTCAGTCCTATTCACACAGATCTGTTATACATTTCAAAGTCCAGTCTAGAATCCTGTCCCTTCTCACTTCTCCTCCTTCTTTACTATGATAACCCAGGTTGCTATGAGTAATAAGTTTCCCTTCTCTCAGATATAAGTTGGTCATATGTATGTATGTATGTATGTATGTATGTATATATATATATATATATATATATATATATATATATATATATATATATAACAAAGGTAGTCCCTTATCCCTACTATTGTTGCTATTCTCTCTTTTGCTATTCTTGCTTCTCTTGAAGATAGCCCTGGCCATGTCCAGTCTGCTTCTTATTCTCTCTGCTCTGGCCCCTTCCAGATGCCTCTGGCTTTTCCCTCTTATTTACAATAAAAGCATCTCTCCAATCATGGAGCAGTGATTTTGGTGGTTTCTTTGCTATGCCCTCCATTACAAAAACCAACTCTGAATTAGTTTCCCAAAGTGATACCTTTCAGAAAAACAGAGATATTCAGAGTCATAATATCCTAATGAGAATGCTAATGGTGCTGGGGTTTTCTTATCAAGTAAAATAAGATATGGATTGATAAGCTCCTCTTTCATCAATTCGTTTCTACTTGTGACAGTGCAAATGTTTGTATAAGAACACAATACAGACTACGCATTGGAAATTCCCTTATGTGGTAGAACACATGAACACAGATGTGGCCAAGTTTTTGGAAGAAATGTACTTTGCTTTTACATGGTAGTTTTATGGTTTAGTTTGACTGTATTAAGTAGTATTTTAGTAATAAAAGTATTCTTGTCAAATTTGGTGGCAAACCCATGTATTCTCAGCAATTAAGAGGGTGATATGCATGGATTAATGGTTTGAGACTAATTTAAGTTACATAGTCAGACAGTGTCAAAACAGAAAGCAGAACAAAAAAATCAATGGAAAAAATCAGTAATAAGAATGTCTCAACCTATGTCCTTCTGAGAGCTTATAAGAACATTTCTGAAAGTAACTACTGGAAGATGTTGTCTCATCAAAGGAGATTTGTCCTGATCAATGTAGGTGCCCATCCCCCAAACTGAGAGGGCTCACCTAGATAGAATGAAGTAGGAACTCCCCCTCTCTCTACCTCCCTGCATCTCTCTTTCTCTCTCTCTCATTCCCTCCTTCCAGTCTTCTTCCTCTCCCTGTTTTCCTTTCTTTGTCTGAGACAGACATGCAACTTCTGTCACATCTAGATAATGGAGCTACTGAACCTCAAGTCCTTGGTCTTTACTCCCCTTCCTCTTTCTCAGGTCTTTGAACTATTATGGTGATATATTATTTGTACTGAGATGTGATTTTATTTGTATGTTAATAAATAAAGTTGCCTGGGGGTCAGAGCTAATAGCAAGCCATAGCAGAAGCCGGGCGATGGTGGTGCACGCCTTTAATCCTAGCACTTGGGAAGCAGAGCTATGTGGTGGATCTCTGTGTGTTCAAGGATACAGCCAGCATGGAGACACATGCCTTTAATCTTAGTACCAACCATAGAAGACCTGGAGGTCTGTATAGACAGGCAGTGACGAGGAGGTCATGTGGTTGGGTTTACAACCAATGAGAAGGCAGAACAGAAAGTCAATAAAAAGACAGACACACAGGAAGTAGGTCTCTTTCTGAGGGGAAGGATGACAGCAGCAGTGAAGGGTAAGAAAGGGTTTTTAGCTCTTAGCTATTGCTCTGACCTCTTGGGCTCTCAACTCTGCATTTGGCTCTGTGCTTCTATTTTAATAAGACGGTTACATCTACAAACTATGCCTTAATTAACCCATCAGCCTTCCTGGTTTTGAGCCTTCACAGAAAACATAGTGGGTATTTTTTGGCTTCTATAATTAAGTGAATTGATTGCAAAATTTCTTGTAAGTCTATACATGGACTTTTTTTTAACCTATTGACTATAGACTGCTCATCCTTAAACAGGCTATCTATATACCCACCCCCATCCCAAGGATCCTGCAACATTGTGGAAGAGTGGTCAGAAAGGCTGTTAAGGGCTAGAGGTTGAGAGGACTTCTGTGAAACAGTGTCTTCTGGACATGACATGGCTGCTGTACCCATGGAATCTTTGCAGTTGTGGTTACACCCACAAGGTCCACATAAGATTGAGCCCCTCAATATTTCATCCTGGAAAGGGAAAAGGCTCATGGGGCCCCACCAATCCCTGAGGACTATTGATAGCTGATATTGGATGGGGTATCATGTTTTTGATCATAAGTTGCTCATGCTTCAGTAAATTACCTCCTACCAATACTCATATAAGCAACCTTATTTTACCTCTGTGTGTCACACCTAAAAGATATGAAAGTAGCAAGAAAACTTTTTGAGAAGAAGGGTTTCATTTGGATAAGAAGGGTAACAAGGGATGAGAAAGACTAAAATTCAGTATATAGATAAAACTGTTGAATACAATGTTTTTTAAAAATAATTATCATTTGATATTTAATTTCAGAATTTAAATTTAAGCCCAATATTTCTTATTTTTCTACAACTTTAGTCTTTTTCCTTAGCCCATTTATACACTAATCCTTCATTCACCACATAAACTACCCCTTCACAGAATCTATCTTCTTCAAAGACCATACTAACATTTACTTACTATCTCCTTTTCTATCTTCTCCAACTAAACTGAAAATTGAACCAGAGAAGTGACTCTAACTCTTTTATTAAGCATGGTGGTTGGTATCTGATTAGATGTACTTGTCATAGGAGATTTCAGACATATTTTAAATGAGTAATATTAATAGTAAGCTTCTAAGTGAATATTTTAAAATGAAAGAGTATGATTATGTAGCTTTGAGCTCAATGGCACCATGTGGACCTTTGAAGCTTTGTAAATCTTGCATGAGATGCATCCAAATGAATGTGTAGAACAATTTCAGAAACACATGTAATTTCCTGCTTTGCTTTTCTTGAGGTATTTTTTCCTTCTCTGTTGCTACTCATTTCTCATACTTCTCACTTTGAGACAGAATAATTTACTGCACGTCCTATCATGGAGTAGGCTATGTCAAACACTATCATAATTGCTATTAAGAAGTCATGTTTGAATAAATTAAGAGTGACACAAACTTTAAAAATAACAACAGAAGTTAAATATAAGATTAATGAAATGGCTGGGCAGTGGGGGCACATGCCTTTAATCCCAGCACTCGAGAGGCAGAGGCAGGTGGATCTCTGTGAGTTTGAGGCCAGCCTGGGATAGAGAGTGAGTTCCAGGAAAGACTCCAAAGCTACACAGAGAAACTCTGTCTAAAAAAACCCCACAAAACCAAAAACGATTAATGAAATATATAATTATGATTTTAAAATCCATGAACACAAATTGTACAATAAGCAGAAATTATTTTAAATGACCCAAGCCTAGTGCCAGGTCAAAATCTCTTGGTTAAACAAATTAATTCATCTCAGCAGATGTCAGAACTTTCTTTGAAAAATACAAGGATCCATACTAAAATTCACATGCAGTGACTAAATTCTTCAAATAGCTCCATTAATAACCATGAAACATTAGATCTTCTGGCAGTGACAAAGATACTTCATAGCAGCAGGGAGCCATTGAAGAGTCTCCCTATTTAGCTTCCACTTAAAATTAGGAGAGTTTCAGTTGACTCAGTAAGAGGTACAGAGTAATACACCTAAAAGAAAGAGAAAATTACACCTATACCCTGAGTTAGCTACTGTATAAACTCCCCCCTCTTTCTCTCTCTCTCTTTTTTTGTAGAAAGAGAACTAGGTACAAAAGTTTATCCTGATCCTAAGTGCAAGCATCTTAACATATCCCACAGCAGCTGAAACAGAAAGTTCTCTGAGGTAGTGCAACCCTGAACTTCAAATCATTCCCATCTCTCTAGCTCTAAATGCCTTACTCATAACACTGCTCACTAGGTGCAATAAAAACCATTATCAATGGATTTAACAGAGCATTAATACTCAGTAATTTGAATAAGTAAGAAAACATTCCATCAAATAAACCATCAGACCAGGTGACTTCACAGATGCATTCTAACAAATATTCAAGACTTATACATGAAATCGTATGCATACAAACAACATATGAACTGAATAGATTGTATTTATATATTTTGGAACACACACACACACACACACACACACACACACACACACACACACACACATAGGGAAAGAGGCCAGAAACCATGAATTTGAGAGAAAGCAGGAGGAGAAATATGAATGGGGAAGGGGAGAAGAAAGAAAAAAGGGAATTTAATATAATTACATTTTAATTTCTTCTTTTTTATTTTCAGCATCTTTGTCGTTTTCCCCTTTTCTTGAAAATAGGTTCCTTTCTTACACAATATATCATAATTACATTTTCCCAGTTCTTCCCCACCTTCCTTCCTATCCAGATCCACTCTCTTTCTTTCTCTCAATTAAAAAGAACAGACTTTCAAGAGATAAAAAGAGGAACTATG